AACCCTAAACCCTAAAACCTAACTGAAAGTTACCAATATCAATCCAGAGGTTTCTTCGTTATGCCTATATGGGTGGTCAAAATTATATAGGGTCCCTTTTGGGGTACCCAAATATTAGGTGCCGTAATATATTAAGGACCCAAAAAGGGACCCTAATTTTGACAACCACCCATATCGTAGTGCACACAGGAACCCAATGCTTGCTATGATGGCCCTTGTACCAAACCTTGAAAGAAACCCTTACTTCATAGCGTCGAACCCTGGCAGGAGCCCTTGAAGAAACACCCTACTCACCTAACTCATCCTTATTCTAAGGATCAAGTCCCCACTACCCAGAGGCCCCATAGTAGTTCTTTTTTGGGATTACCTCATAAGATTCTAAATATGAACCCCAAAAAGGAACTACTTTGGGGCCTTAGGGTATACTGAGCCCCTGAAGTAACCCTTTACGGGATCCTTTTTACTGGAACCCTTAAAGGACCCCTTAAAGAAACCCTTAACGAAGCACCCTACGCTAACTAGGGCCCGTTTATGGAACCTTTTAGGGATCCCTTAAAGAAGCACCCTACTCTAAATCGGGCACTTCCTTTAAGGTATCGCTTAAAGAAGCACCCTATGTTAAACAGGGCCCTTCCTTTAAGGGATCCCTTAAAAAAACACCCTACTTTAAATAGGGCCCTTCCATTATGGGATCCCTTAAAGAAGCACCCTACTTTAAGTATTATGAAGCGTTTCATCATGTTTACCCAGAGGCCCCATAGTAGTTCTTTTTGGGGGTTCATATACAGACTCCTATAAGGTATAACCCCAAAAAGGAACTACCATGAGGCCTATGGGTAGGGTTTAGGTAGTGAGGATCATGGGGACTCCCCAAAAAAACTACTTTGGGGCCTATGGGTAGCTGCCTAGGAAGCCGAAGAGGAGCTCGAGGAGCGGACCCGCTCCCTTTTTGGGTTTAGGTCTTAGGGGGTGTGGGGCTTTTAGGGCTTTGGGTTATAGGGTTTAGGGCTCTAAGGGTTTAGGGTTTAGGGTTTAGGGGTTTGGGTTATAGGGTTTAGGCTTTAGGGGTTTGGGGCTTATAGGGCTTTGGGTTTAGGGGTTTGGGTTCTACGGGTTTCGGGTTTAGGGGTTTGGGGCTTAACTATAGGGCCTTGGGTTTAGTTGTTTCGGGGTGTAGGGGTTTAGGATTTAGGGGCGGGTTAAGTGTCTAAGAGTTTGGGGGTAGTGGTGGGTGTTTTGTGCGGTATCTCAGGGGATCCCGCAGGTGTGGAGCTGGGTTTCGAGATTTCGAGGGTAGGGGTGGGAGGCTTGTGGTTGTTGAGGCTCTTGCATTGTTTGGGTTTCAGGAGGCAGCCTCTGCAAAGTTACGCTGTTCTGACCGGGCCTTTCATAAATTGTCAAAGAGAACAACATGCAATTTGCCGGCCATGCTCCCTACCCTAAGTCCAAGGTCCTACAATCAGTGCTTCAAGCATAGAAGACCTTTAAGCGAAACCCAAACCCCCAGAATCCCTGTACCCATATAGAGATACATGGGCCCCAAAGTACCCAAATAGGGACTACATTAAGGCCAATGTATATACTCTATGAGTACATGGACCCCTAGGGGAATTTGCGACCGCTGCACTGACAGCACAAGATCAAGGGCAGGCGACCTGCGCGCAAGATTCCTTGCGCGGATCAATGCACGTGCCGCTTTCAGAGCAGAAGCCGTTATGGGGTGTTGTCTCGAATTACAAAACGATGCAGAACGCCGTTAACCAGGAAGTTGCATCTTTCAAATCAAATTGAAGGAAAACAGGAAGCAGCACAATGCAACTCGACGTGAAGCTGCTCAGAACCCTCTCACCCAATCCCTGCAAAAACCCTGAGCCCCAGTAAAGAAACCCAAGCCAGGACAGCCCTGACCAGCATCTGAACAGCGCAGAGGACATCCCGGTACCGTCGGGGCCCGAGTTGATCGGGATTTAACCAGAGGTAAGCTTTCTGCCAAGAGGGCAAAGTGCTGTCTGTCGGGGTTAGAGCTGAGGGGTCGGGGACATGGGGGCATGAGTAATTGGGAGTCAGGGAATAGTGCTCATAGTTACTGCTCATAGTTACTGCCGCCCATTCTGCTGGTCTTGGTGCAGATAGCTAGCGCCAAAACGGATTCAAATCCCTGAGCTTCCTGAGAGCCCATGTGCCTATCGTACATATTCTGGTCGTAAACGGATTTCTAGTGACGGTCTTTGCTTAGGTGCGACTGTGCAGGCGCAAGGACGCTTCAGGACTTTGGTGGAAGACCAGAACAGAACAGCCTGGAGCAGTAAAACCAATAATTTTGACTCCTCAACCCGATCAGTCGAACCTCGAAATGCGGAAGCAACAAACGATACTGCCTATGGAAACCTTAACTAATTTTCTATAAGCCCTGAACCCTCAAAAAACAAAAGTCAAAAGTCCATACACCGTAGGAGCCGCATTTACGCCAAAACAAGGCAAGAAGCCCAAGTACCGGTAAGGAAGCGCAGCAGCTTCAGAACCTCAACAGAGCCCGGTGCGTGTATATACATGTGGGTGTCAAGTTGCCGTACTGTTTGCAAAGCCCAAATCCTAACCCCCAAACAATCCGAAATCGTAGAAGACTGAGCAACCCCGTAAACCCCCATGCCCAAACCCCTAAGGCCTAAACCGCTTACAAAGCCCTAGAAGCCCTGCAAAACCCAACATGAACCCTACAAGCCTCAAGCGTCCAAACAGCAAATGCCCATGAACCCCGTAAATCAATCCTAATCCCTAAACCCCTAAACCCCTAAACCCCTAAACCATGAACCCTGAACCCTAGAACCCTAAACCCCCACACCCCTAAACCCATAAACCCCTAAACCCTAAACCATGAAACCTAAACCCTAGAGCCCTGAACCCCTAAACCCATAAACCCCTAAACCATGAACCCAAAACCCTAGAACCCTAAACTAAACCCCTAAACCCTTAACCCTAAATCCTAAACCATGGACCCAAGTTCGCATCATATTTTCTGATCGTGAGGGCTGCAGATGAGATGGACGAAGAGTCCCTCCAGCCGCCCTGGCAGGTTTTAGGGTGTAGGCTTCAGGGTTTAGGGGTTGGGGGTTTAGGGGCTTAGGGTTTAGGGTTTAGGGTTAAGGGTTGTTGATCTATTTTGTTTTTTGTTTGCTGTTGGCTTTAGTGTTTAAGTGTTTAGGGTTTGGGACTTCGTTTTTTTGTAGGTTACGGGTGTTCAGGGCTTTTGGGGGTTTAGCGTTTGAAGCGTCAGCGGGGCATGGGGGCCTTTCCTGATTCCTATTGTCATGATTTTTTTGGGGGGGGAAGTCATATCATGTGAGGCCAGCCTTTTGCGGTGGTTCAGGGCAACGCCAAAGTAAACCCCAGAAAGTTGGACACCAGATTAAGGCCAAATAGTGCTGGGATTCCTTATACATTGCTCTTAAGGATTGAGGCGATGGGGTTTCCAACTTTCAGGCTTCGACTGTATTCAGTTCCGAGCTCAAGGTTTGAATCTGCGGTGTTGCCTGGCGGGCTGTTTGCGGTGTCGTTTGAGCAGGAGGCCGTTTGGGCTTCTAGCATGCAGTGTATCGTGTAGCATAGAAGCCAAAATAGTAGTTAACATGTTTTTTTTGTTGGGTTCCTTGTTAGAGATATCGTTACAGTATGTATTGGGGTTGGGCAAGGGTGGGTTGAGGGATTCACGGCATGGGGTTTAGGGGACGACCTTCAGGGTTTAGTGGCTGCCCAGACCCTGCTGGCCAGAGTAGCATCTTTTTGTGTTACCGCCGTAGTAGAGGTTATCAAAAAAGGGTGCGGCGCTCAGGGGTCTAGGTAGGGAAAGAGGCTTCCCGGTTTGGAGCCTTGAGCGCCGCTTCATCCAAGAAACTACATAGAGTAGAAGACAGAAAGTTGGAGCATCCATATCCTCATGGACTTCAGGTAAAGCAAAAGGGAACCCAGCACTTGTCGTCTTAAATCCATGTTCCAACTTTCCAGGGTTCACTTCAAGCACTTTTACACCGTCCTTCTTAGTCGAATTCCTCGCGTGCTATACTGCCCTGAGGCCATGGAATCCTAGATACTCTGACTCTGAAAGCCCTTACCCCAAGGGTCCTAAGGACCCAATAATAAGGTAATTGGGTGTAGGATCGTAGCTACATAGGTTCCTATAAGGGAGAGTATATGATAGTTAGGTACTTGGACCCTTGGGGCTAACTTTACATCGCTGCCAGGCTTAAGAAAGATCTGCAGCGTTTCATTCTGCAGCACAAGGCCTGCCCTCGGAGTAAGACTTGATCGATCCAAATCGCAGCTTGGGTTTGGGGCAGCTACGGCTACAACGGCACACGAAAGTACTTGTAGCTCTGACATTCCAGCCATGAATCGCCTACTTACCGGAATTATCGATTTCGGGATTCAGCTGGTACCCTTCAACTACTCGTTGAACCAGGACAGCCCCAAAACCAACGCGCACAGGCCTAATACCAACTGACTTTGAAAGTCCGGGGATCCTCCAAGAAGCTGAAACCTGAACCTGCCTATGGTCTCCATTTTAGGTCCTTTTGTTAAGTAACCAATTTTAAGGTTAGGATCCTATATTAGTGAACTTTTGAGAACCTGTAGCACGCAAGCTCTCGAGCCTGGAAAAGCCTTTTTAACGTCTAAACCCGAATCTCAAGACTCCTAAAGCCCTCTAAGAGCTCCTTCCTAAGCCCTCGCTGCTGCGTCATTGACACTGCTCGGTGCGCAGTGTCCGGGTCCGGGCGTGTTGATTGGCGTCTTTGAAGGGCTTTCTAGCAGTAAGACAGACCGAAAGTCCTGTAATTCGTCTGGTGGTACCCGTTCCGGTTCTGGGTTCCATCATGAAGCCTGTCCAGCCGAAAATAATGTAATGAGGTTATTGAGATGCCCGGAGTAAACCCCAACCCTACAGGGAGCAAACACGTCTGCAAAAGAGAGATCATTTCTCATGCCGGGAAAGTGAGCCACGCAAGGCAGAGCAAGACAACATGTTCGATGAGACGGCAGATGAGGACAGGGCGGACATGGTGCCTCTGGGGAACGACCTCCTTCTGAGGGATTCCGTGTTTGAGGATCTGTATATAGTCGAAGTAATGTAGGAACCTGATTCAGAAACCCTGGGCGTATAACCCTTAAAATAGTCGGATTCGTATTAGGAACCCTAGCGGAGGCCCAAGGTTTCTTTATCAGGTTCCAAAATTATTATAGTACCCTTATAGATCCCTTATAGCAACTCTTATAGATCCCTTTAAAGGAACCCTTAGGCCCAAGGTTCCTAAATTAGTCTACTTAGGGGCACTTTCTACTTGAAGCAACCCGGCAGGGTAACTTGCAGCTCATCGCTCTATGCCTTGAAGTTATCGCTTGAAGGTATGGAAGTAATACAGGGGCCTTAATAATTACCTATAGTAATGTATAATATACACCCAAACCCTACTCTAATTATTAAGGCCCATATGAGCAGTTCCTGTCTACACGGGGCTTTGCGGGTTCGTGTTCAGGGTGGGTGAAGGGACTTCGTGCTTCGACATCCAGAAAGCATTCTACACCAAGAGCCCTCTAATCATAAGGACCTTAGGGGGGTGGGGGCCTCAGTACCTGTAATAAGGACTTAATGAGGCCTAGTTAAGGAAGTACGGTCCCCTACTCCCTCTAAGGGTCCCTATGAGCTAGGCCACGAGCACAAGTGAGTTCCCGGCAGTCCTTCCCCAAGATAGGCTCTAGGACGAAAGGCCCCGAAACCTACGCCGACTGTTGCTGCTGCACACATTGACAACCAAAGCTCAACCCTTCCCAGTAATGTTGGATCAAAACCCGAAACCCCAAAAACCCTAAACCCCATTACAGACCCCTTTGAAGGAACCCTTACAGATCCCTTTAAAGGATCCCTTACAGGTTGAGTCTGGAAAGTAGATGTTCAAGACTATAGGGGCCTAAATTTCTACCACTACGTATTATTCCTAGGGTTCCTTATTATAGTTATAGACTATAACTATATATTAAGATCCCTATATTACTTGCAGCTTCAGCCTTTCAGGCCCCGAGCTCCAAACACAAAGCCTTGGACACCAAGCAGAGGCCTACGCAAGAACAACCCAGACCTTCCAAAATCCCTTAATTAAGGAAAATACCTTAAGTCATATTAGGGATCCTACTATGATTTAAGGTATATTCCTTAATTAAGGGATTTTGGAAGGTCTGGGAAACAGATCCAGAAGCATCTTCGAAAGCCGGGTGGGGCAGCTAGTCTCTGACCCCTTGAAGCGGATCACTTTAGCTTAAGTGCTGTGAGCCTTGTCAACATCCCGCAAAGCCAGAATTGACATAGCCTCCCCAAGTCTTCACGACGAGCTAACACGCGGTATCGGCTGGCTAATAATGACTATAAAACTGGCAAATGCCTTCCAGGACTGCAAAACCTAATTTCTGAACCCTGGACGGAAAACTCCGAGCCCCAAGCTTGAATCTTAATGCCGAATTTTGCAGGATGCCATCCGAAAGGCTGCGACGGGGCAAGCAAATGCGATCAGCCAGCCGCTTTCCTTATATGGTATGTTTCAGAAGCTTAGGCGAATACTGCTACGTAGGGGCAATATTCGGACCCGCTATGCTATGAAACTCTTATGTGGGTTCTGGGGGTGAATATAATATAGGCTTTAAGTTTCAGGGATGTTCAGGGGCTGTCTAGGATTTAGCGCCATTTCGCGTTTGGATAATTTGGGGTTGGGTTGTCTATGTTCAGCCTGCTTCCCCTGCTTCCTTTGGCGTGAACCCTGAGCGTTTTGTAGAGCGGGTGTTCAAGAGGGGGGGTGGTGCTTTCGTTTGGTTTCAAGGATCCGTTTTGTTGTTGTGAACTATTGAGACATCATGGGCGTCAAGGTTCATTTTGTGGAGCCTTGGGCGTAGCACCATCGAGTGGGGACAGAGTCTAGGTTTATTTGTGAAACAGTGATAATCATAAGCGGGTGTAGTTGTAACAAAACCCTGAACCGTAAACGAGAAGACTGAAAGGCGAAGTGCAGACCCCCAAGCACTGCACACATTCCACCCGACTGTCTTATAGTCTGCAGACGCTAGCCGCTGGCCTTCAATAAACCTAGTTTGCCCAGAAGTACCCTTTTGCCCTTTTCTTTTGGGTTCCCTCTTAGCAACAACACCCTTGTAAGTATGTCACTACTGGGGAACACAGAAGAACTTCTTTCTCAATGGCGACAGGCCCGAAGCCCTAAACCGCGAGTCGCAAACAAGAGCCGAATTGGACTTTGACAAAAACCCGGATCCCATGACAGAAGTGGACCCATCGCAGACGGACTCTACGGGGTAATTCTCTTGTTCTAAACTCATATAGCAGGGACCCCCCGTCTCAAGCAACTCCCTAAACCCTAAACTCTAAACCCCTTTCCTGAAACCCTAAGCCCCTAAACGCTAAGCCCTAATAGATTGCGTTTCCGAAGACCTAAAGCCCGAACCCAGCCACTTAAAGGGCGATGGGCGCCCCGAAATCTGCAGGGAAACCAAACCCGGAAGTCCCGAACCGCGACAGGGTGCAGGCTTCATGGCTTAGAGACTTAGGGCTATTGCGGTTCGGAGGTGGATAGTGAAAAAACATGGCTCTCTCAAAACAGGACGCGCGGGCCGACAGGGATAGTTCTCAGCGGGGATCAATACAATAAATGGTGTGCCCCGAACGTAAAGTCGCTGCATCATCATGTTGCTCTATCACCTCCATTGACAGTGACCACAGTGCGACACCCCGAACCTCAAACCGAGCTCCATACTAGCCCATGAGTTTCAGACGACCCCTAAACCCTAAATGCCTAAAGCCCTAAACCCTTAAACCCTAAACCCTTAAACCCTAAACCCTTAAACCCTAAACTCTTAAACCCTAAACCCTAAGCCCTGAAACCCTAAACCCTGAGTTTTCTGGCCTCGACATGTTGGGGTTTCGGCTGCCCAGGACCGGTGCCTCTGCCGATGATTGGGACGACTCGGAAGGGTGTCCTCCTCTGGGATGTCGGGTTGTGGGTTGCAGGGGTTTAGACGGAGTTGTGGGTGTTCCTGCTGAGACTCTGCGACATGCCAAACTTCAATCCAGAAGATGACGCTTACAGGCCAACAGCTCTTTCACGGTTTTGGGCTTCAACTGATTGCATTTAACCCTCAACCCTAAACATGCTTCAGTACTGGATGCTTTGGATTGCTTGCGGGCTTACAGATAGTGCCCAACGCCCCTGAACCAAGAAGTACACAAAAATTGTATATGATGCGCCATGGGGTTCAAGTATATAATGTTCAGAAATTGAAGGTTATTAGGCTGTCTTGGCAGTGGCAATTTATCGAGAGTATTCAAGGCGTTGTGCGGCCTTGCAGTATTGTATAGGTGTGTGTGTGTGTGTGTATGTATGTGCTTGCACGTGTCTGTGTGTGCATGCATGTATGTGCATGAATGTACAAATATTTTTTTGGCACGCATGCTTGCAGCTGGGTACATATTATGTACACATGCAAAGTCCGCACCGTAAGTACATGTATGCAAGCATACATGAACAGTTTTTGTTTATGGCATGCTTGTCTGCTCGAGTCCAAAAGTACCTTCACACCTGCAGAGGCAGACAATCGAATATCCCGCTTGGCTTCTGGTTCTTCCATAGACGTTGCTTCGTGTTGTTGTTCGTAGGGTTTTGATTGTGTCGGGTTCTTGGCGATAAAAGCAAGCACAACCCTGCACAATTACTGCAAGTTCTAATCCACAAAGCCTGAAGCCTGAACCCTTACATAACCCCGGGCATCAGGCTCAGAGACATCACTGCGGGACCTCAGATTGGCTTAGTTCTTCCTATGCCTGTAATATAGGGGCCTCAATAATTACCTATACCATTTTTTGGGGGGAGGGGTCCTTATTATAACTATAGTATAATGGGCCTTAAAACCCCATTCTAATTTAATAAGGCCCCTATATTAAGCGTGCCTTAGGACTTGGGTGTCGAGCGCGAGGATAACCGAGGAAATCAAGGGCTTTAGCGCAATGGGAGTTTCCGAAACTTAGGAGGTAATTACCTTCTTATTCTGGGGTCCTTATAATAAGGATCCCAATATATAGGGTACTACTACATCAGGTCCCCTATTTTCGGAAACCCCCAAAACATGAAAGGTTTAGAGAGTCTGAAAGGATCTCTACACCAGCAATCTGTTCAAGAATCGTTGGGGTCATTCCTGCATCCCTGGCTAGGCACCAAGTGCAGAAGTTTCTGTTGCGGAGGGAATCCCGAAGCAAAGCTGCCACAGGTACTACAAGGCAAAGATCGGAGAAGTCATGATGGAGCGGTATGAAGTCACTGAGGACTCTGCGAAGCTGTTGCCCGTTGAATAAATATAGCCTTAACCCTCTTGAAGAGTACGATAGAACCTCAGTAGCTGAGTGAATACACTTTACACTTTCTCAGATAATATTACCCACTATAAAACTGAAAGTGTACACTTTTTGGGGCTTATGAACTGAGCAACTAAGGAACATACTGTCTTGTAATCTTGTAGTCGTGGTCACGATAGAACAGAATGTTATAGCCCCTTAGTTTCATGTTTTTTTTGTGGGAGCTGTTTAGGTGTTAGTAGCTCTTTGGCTGCAGTCTCCTGGAATTGTACCCAGCTGAGGCCGATAAAGTGGACAGCTGCCTTAAACCCTAAAACCCTAACCCTTAAACCCCTAAAACTAAACCTTAAAACCTAAACCAGGGCTGGTTTGTGGGTGTGCGTGAGTGGTGTTTTGCTTTGATGGGTTGGGGAACCCAGGCCAGGTCCCTCGCAAAACCTCAGCCCTCCCCCCCGCCAGCTATATGAGTGATACCTAACCCTAAGGGTCCATGTACTCATATGGAGATGCATGGGCCCCAAAGCACCCAAATAGGGACTACATTAAGGCCAATGTATATACTATGTGAGTACATGGACCCTTAGGGTAAATTACCCCCATTCCATCTGACAAAAAAGCAATTGATTCCTGAACATGGTAACCTGAGCCGGACTCGCGTGCAGCTCCTTCGGATTGGGATGGTCCTTGATTTTCCCCTGGGTCAAGATGGGGCTTAGTTCTTATCTGGGCGGCTGAGTGGTAACCTTCACCCAACCCGTAGGATGCCCAGTAGTACCCTTATTCCGTTTTTGTAGTCTTAGGTTCCTTATCAAGTTACCCAATACCAATGAGGGAGCCCCTTTTTATTCCTAGGCTACTGGACACCTGTCTCGTGTTGCTTATAAGGCGACTTGGCAACTCGGAATCGTAGCCTCGAGTGCTGAGCATGCCAGCAGTCGGTGTTCGATTCCTCATGATTGTGTTGGTCCAGTTCCTTAGTTTCTCTTCCCTGTTCTGACGGCGAGTTTAAACCATTGCGCAATGACAATGGACACGGAAGAACGAGACGATTAGTGTTTCGAAGTTCGAGGCCATCATCAGTACAGCAGCACTAACTACACGAAGGCTCGTGACAACGAGACCGTCAGCAGTAGTTCGGTGCCACACAACACTCAGTCAACACCATGTGCAGCATCCACTTGAGCACGCGCCGTCGCCGATGTCGCCATGCTACAAGCAGCCGGGTCAAGAATTCGGTCACGGTTCGGCTAAGTGCAACGTGAGCTTTCACATCACCCTGGCAAGTGTGAAGCAGTCAAAACCCTCAAGCACTTGAGCCCTGCAAAGTAATCCCAAACTACATACTATTCCTGTACTCTTCTTCTTTGTTTGTTTTCACCGTTGATGATCACTGTTATTGCATCTACTGTCCATGTTAGTACTGTTAATTACCAGCAACATCTTCATTATTCGAATATAGCTGCACTTTTAGTATAGAGTCGTATTACGGTTATTTTGACATATTTTCGAATGTTTGGTATACTGACTATTGTTGGTGTTACTGTTACCTGTAGTGTTATCAATATTTTGTCATTATTAGTACTTTTATTACTATTTGGAGTATCATGATTATTAATTGTTGTTGCTACTTTATTAGGATGACTAGTAATGTTTCTGATGTTCGTTTATTCTTTTTTAGTTACACTAGTAACTGTTATTACTGTTACGACTATATTAATATTGTTATTATTAGTTGTTATTATTGTTATTATTATGATGATTCCTTCTATCGTCAAATGCCACCTACTACCACTATTATGATCAAAATACCTATCATCGTTACACAGCATGATTAAAGCTACCATGCTTGAGGGTTTCCGGGGTTTGTGTGCTTTTGCCTTTTCGAAGAGGTATACTGCATCATACTCTTGCACTTCAGGAGTCTACGGTTTCGGCTTGAGGGTTTGGAATGGTTTGGAATGAGGGTCCTGGGTCTTGGACTTTAGCGATCATGACCTAGATTTGGGGTTTCGTATTTGGGGGGTTAGTTAAGGGTTTCGGATTGCGTGGCATGGGGCTGTGGGTTTATGATTCAGGTTTTGAGTTCAGGGGTTCGAGGCTGTTTGCTGGAGAGGTTTGACGGCTCTATTCCACATTGGAAAATTTGCTGCTCTGTTCTGGCTGGTATCACTTCCACCCGGAGTTTGGCATCCTGGCTATGGCTATGGCAACCTCACATTCAGTACAAAGATCTCGAGAACAGAACTTCAAAAGAAGCGTGAAAAACAAGGCCTGAATGTGCCTTTGACAATCGGCATGGATGACTTCGTGGCTGGGGTATCCGCCGCCGACAAAGTGACATGTGACAGAATTCGCGGTGCCGTTGATCGCAGCGATTGGTACGCAGCCCAACAAGCCTTCGACGCTTCTGAGAAGACGTCGGCCCCCGTCTTCAACATGCTCATGGTAGCTGCATTAAAACTCGGCAATTTCGAAAAGGGTGTGAAGATCTACGAGGAGCTTGATCTTCGAGGTGTAGAAAAGACACTGAAGAGCTACTGCTGTGCAATTCGGCTCTATGCTCAACTTGAGAGGAAGGACGAGACAATGACGGTTTGGGATGAGGCACGTGCAGCGAAGTTGTGGAACGATTCCGAGAGTGCAAACTCGCTTATGTGTGCGGCCCTGCATGCAGCGGCGCAGTTCGGCGATCATGCTTTTGCTACACAGCTGCTTGACATGATGCGGGACAGGGGAAAGGTTCTCAATGTCCTTGACTACAACCAGGCCCTGGATGCATGTAAAAACTCGCTCCAACATGATGCAGCAATCAACCTCTATTCAGAAATGGTCCGTGTAAATGTAGCACCCAATGTCATCACCTTCGCGTTGCTCGTGGGTGCTCACAGTGGGAAGCCCCTGCAAAACATTACGGATGTCGCCAGCCAGATGGCTCTATATGATGTTGAACCGAATGTGCCTTTTTTGGAAGAACTTGTGTCAGCCATGCTTGGTGCACGGCGTCAGGGTCTCAAGATCACTGATCTGCAGCAGGCACGAATGGTGGCTTCACAGTCACCTGCCTCACACCTGCGCGCTGCTCAACGGGTCATCGAGCATGTCGAGAGTAAAGGCGTGGAACTGAGCCAGCTGCTTAGGCGCTTCAAGGCTGCGATGTCTTGGGGCCTTGAAAACTCGGCGGCTTCCGAGACTTAGGGACCGAGTTCTTGCAGACCGGACCCGCCGATTGATTAGGGCATCGGGTTTAGGATAGGGATTTAAATTTAGGCTTATGAAGGTTAGATGCGCCTGAGTTTCTGAAGCTCCCAGTTGGAACACTACCGACTTCGCACATGGGCGGAGTGCATCGTAAAAAACGATATATTTCAGATCTTTCATGCTGTAGGCCTCGAAAGGCTGCACTACCGTTTTGTGGAGTGAGAAGTCTTGACGAGTTAAATGGGTTGTCATCATTAGGGTCCCTTTTTGGGTACCCTAAATATTCGGTGCCGTGTTATATTAGGACCCCAAAAAGGGACCCTAATTTGGACAATCACCCAAATGTCTTGGCTGTTTTAAGTTGGGTGTTCTACGTAATAAGACTGTGCTCTTGAGCTTTGCCACATCCCTTCCGAATACAGCAGAGCAATGGGCTACATGAAAATCAGGATGAGCATTCCACAGCCTAAAAGCTCAACCCGAGAACTGCCTTAGACGCCATAACAATCCTAACAACCTATACAATCTAACTCAACCCACCCCCTAAATTGTGCAAAGCGCCGAAGTGCCGACCATGGAGGAGATTGTAACTAATGGGAGAGGTTGCAAGTAGAATCGAGCGACGGAGGTTACGAACGTGTGAGGTTTACAGAACAAGGCTTTAGGGGGATTTATAGAGCGTGGGGTGTAAGGCACATGGGATTGAAATGGATGAACTTTCAGAGTCTAGGGTTGAGGAAGCTGCAAATAAGCAGATGGCTGAGGTGTCAGTGGGTCGCTTCACCAGGAACTCCAACCATCATCGGTATCAACTGACTTTACTAAATCTTTCGACGGAGAAGACAACGAAGACAGCAATGACTACGTTGGCACACAGCAACGTCTAGCACGACTGCCTCCACGACGACCAGGACGACAACAACAACAACGCAAAGAAGCACAGCCACAGCAACAACAAAAAGCAGCAAAAGTAAATTACGGCGGCAGCATCGTCAACCAACACAGCAGAACCGCTATCGACACCGCATACCAGTAAAAAAACAACAAAACAACAAAGGTCACGCAACCAAGTTGCTTTAAACACCGCAGAAGCGGCATATCACAAGGGCTGTCAACAGCATCATCTGCAGCCGAGATTATCAAGGACATGCCATCGATGGTTGATTTCACCACCAACACATGCCCTACCACCACGCTGAGCAGCAACCGCTGCGGCTACAGTAGAGCAACCGAAATAAAGCACAGTTTAAGCAAGATCCTACATTGCGATTCCCTTCGTCAACCTCCAAAGCCTAATCCCTAAGTGCTATAAACCCTCTAGTTACACCCTCAACTCTATGAGCCATATAAACCCTTTCAAGCCCTACCAAAAAGTCATACTCGCCGCCCTTGTTCTTGTATCCAGGACTTCGTGGGGAAGGGCGTCTTCTCAAACGTGTGCAAAGCCAAGGACAAGGTCGCTTTTGGATCGGGGTCCTTACGCGTCTTAGAGCAGTATGGTTTAATTAGGAATTTAGGGTTTTAGGGTCAGGGTTTCAGGGTCTGAGGGTTTCGAGCTAGGGTGGCGGAGTTTGTGCCGAAGGTGGAGTCGTTGATTGACCAGCTCGAAGCATTGGGTGCCCACACGCACTTCGTTGACTACTTTCATGCATGCAGCTTTACGAGGACAAGTTCCACGATAACCAGCGGGCCGTCGCGATAGGCAACTGGAACTTCGCCTTCGTGGCAAGTCTGGTTTGCCCGCGAGTCGCTGCGCAGTACTCGTCGAATAGCAAGAGGAAAGGAACTTTCGGAGCGTTCATGGAAGGGTGGGGAGCAACGAGTCGAGGCGCCACGAGAGGGTGGAGAAGGCGACTGCCCTGAACTGTTGCATCGTCGCCATGCCCTCCATGCCTGCCTCTTTGCGCTCCTGGGCTTACCTGACGAAAGGCACGACATCGTGCAATGGTGCAATCACTTCAGCGTTCCATGACACTCTTCGGACCACCAACAATTGACGCAGTCAAGCTGTAGGCTTTCAGGGTCTGAGGGTTTACTGTTTAAGGTCTTGGGTGCTTTTTTGGATCAGGGCTTTCCCGTGGGCTCCTTGAGCCCTTTAAAACTTTGAAGGTTCCATGTTTAAACGGGTCCCGGTTTAGGGTTTAGGGTTTAGGGTTTAGGGTTTAGGGTTTAGGGTTTAGGGTTTAGGGTTTAGGGTTTAGGGTTTAGGGTTTAGGGGTCAGTCAGTTTCACTGGGGTTTGATTGTCAGGGTTGCTTACGTTTGTATGGGGTCCACATACGACCCAAGTACATAGACCTGTAGGGTTACAACATCTGAACGGTGACTTTCTCGGATGACGTGTTATTTGGGAAAGTTTTGTTGTTTGAGACGGTGAGTATCGTGTCTTCAGGGTTTTAGGACAGCCCTGAACCCCGAACCCCAGACCCTGAACCCTAAACTCTGAACCCTAAACCCTGAACCCTAAACCCTGAACCCTAAACCCCAAACCCCAAACCCTCAACCCTAAACTTTTTAAACCCTAAACCCCGAAACCCCAAAGCCCTGTAGCAGCCGGGATCTCCCCGGGTCGCAGACCGATGGATCCATGGTGGCCATCAAAGTCATGCGCTGCAACGACATGATGAAGAAGGCCCGGAGTTAAGGGGCTTTGGGCTTAGGATTTGTGGTCGGGGTTGGGAGGAAGGCCCGGGGGGTTAAGTGGCTTTGGGTTTGAGGGTTTAGGGCTTAGGGTTTAGGGGGCTTTGGGCTTAGGCATGATGAAGAAGGCCCGGGGTAAAGGGGCTTTGGGCATAGGACTTGTGGTTTCGGGTTTAGGGTTTAGGGGCTGAGGGGAGGCATGGGGCTAAGGAGCCTAGGGATTGGGGTTTTGGGGTTTTGGGGGCTAAGGGTTTGGGGCTTAGGGGCTTAGGGTTGGGGGTTTAGGGAGCTTAGGGTTTGGGATTTAGGCCTTGGGGTTGGGGTTTAGGGGCTAAGGGTTCGGGGTCTAGGGGCTTGGGGTTCGGGGTTTAGTATTCAGGGTTCATGCCAATGTCTACGTTATCTTTCTGTTTCGTTTGGCATTATGCCTTGGGGAAGCAGTGCCAGGTTACACAGGTTGTTGAAGTGGCCTTGAGGAATCAGGGAGGTTGTTGTGTACACATGAAAGATTTGTGCAAACAAGTCAGGATAAATGCGCCCAGGTGGGTTTGGAAGTATATCGCCCCACAGTCTCCGCTGGACTTATCAAACCTGATCCGTCTTCATAGCAATCCCTACCCTATGCCTCCAGGGACCTTATTATGGGGTCCTTAAGTGGTCTATGGCCCTAACTATGAGGTCCCTGGAGGGATAGGGCCAGAGTAGTGTTTATGCTAGAAACCTTCAGTATGCCCTAGACCTCGCAGTCTTGAAGTGGAGCACAGGGTCCCTTTTGAGGGGGTTCCTGCCTATCACAGTCCCGTACTCTTTTTTGGGACCTAAGACGGGGCCCTAACTCAGAGAACCGTCCTTGTAGTACCCTTGTGGAGGCCCTTATAGAAAGCCTTATAGATCCCTTTAAAAGGAGCCTTAGACTTCGACGCTACCTTGGAACCCTAAACCCCAAACCCTAAATCCCTAAACCAGAAACCCTAAGCCCTAAACCCTGAACCCAAAGCCCTAAACTCCTAAACCCTAAACTCCCCCCCCCCTTTGTGGCCATCAAGGCTGCCGAGAAGGAGGTAGAGATCCTCGAGCGTTTAAATAAGGCGGACAAGCAGAACAAAAGGCCGGGCCGAACTACCAAGGTTTAGGGCTTTGGGTTTTGGGTTGGTTTTGGGTGTTGGTTTAGGGTTTGGGTGCAGGATTTAGGGTCTAGGTTTAGGGCTTAGGGTTTAGGATCAGGGTTTAGGGCCGGGCCACTTGAAGGGCTCCAGTAAAGGGACTCTTAAGGGTATATGCGACTGGAAGGTTCCTTTAGAGGGACCCGTAAGGGTTCTATGTGCTACTTGAAGGGTTTCTTTAAAGCTACCCTTAAGGGTTCTATGCTACTTGAAGGGCTCCTTTAACGGGGGTCCTTAGGGGTTCTAGAAGGGTTCCTTCAACGGGATGTACAAGGATTCCGTTTAACGGCTTCCTTAAGGGACCTCCTCGGATTCCTGAAAGGTTCCTTACATGGTTCATGAAACGGTTTAGGGCTTAGTGTTTTTTTTTTCACCCGGCTTCTTAAGTTCAAGCTTCCAGCAGAGCGGTTTGAGGGTTCCTCACTGGGTTTCATAAGACGGGAGTTTTATCTGGCTCCTTGGATGATGGTTTCCCGAAGGGTTCGTCTGTAGCCTCGGGCCAGTCCAATTTCGGGTTCTAGAGGGTTTAGGATTAAGGGCGTCTGATTCTGTAACTGTGGAGTTATTATGGGGATTAAGGATTAAGGTTTACAGATTCGATCTCAGGATTTGTATGTTGTGCTGGCCACCGTTGCGGCCAGCCACAACCTAAGCCTCAGAACTGCTAACACAGTGGCTGTGCTGACCGAAACTCGACATGTGCGGTATTGCCTTTGCTGCAATTGGCAATGGTGTCTAGATATTCGACCTCTTGAAAACCATTGCAGGCACACGGTGGGTTTGCAGATTTGGGTGTTCCCCGCTGGTTTTTTCTTTAGGTGCCGGGGCCGAGGAGTTCGCAGGACAAATTAGGTATAGTTAAGGTGCTTAGCATTTCCTCACTGGGCCGTGGAGACAACATAATGCAAGTGTACTTGAACATTCGTTTGATGAGAACTCTGAGACGGGAGGTTTGTTACGCCAAATGTGCTTTAGAATAGTTTTGGCATACACGGCTTGTGTAGAAATTAGCTTCTAGGCGATTTGCTGTGTAAGTGAGATTTTTAGTGAGGTTTAAAATTCTCGTGGATTTCCTGAAGGGTCCTTTAGCCACATCATATGCTTTGGACTTAACGTAATTTCCTATATAGGATATACGATACAAGCGCATAGAAAGCTTTGGATTTGATTGACGCCAACGGCTCAGTCCGGTTTC